AATATCAGTTCTTGCTTTGCAGCTTTTTCTGCAATAAAATGTATTTTCGAAAGTGCCATTCTGAGCTGAAAGGGAGTCCACAGGAATTGGTATTTATTAGAGATTTAGCTCCCCTAAAAAGCAACAGTTTCTTTAAAAACCAAAACAAACTCCCTCCACAACACACGTTTGACTCAGTCTTTTAATTAACTATAAGGTGATGCAGTTTTGAAGCCCCTGCTGAGCACAGAGGGCTCCCCTGGTACAACATAATATCACAATCAGTATTGTCACAATCTTAGAACTGGTGTTTTGCAGTCTGTGACTGTATTTCACCCCCTGGTATGACCAAATACCACTTGTGCTTGGCAGTGCTGAGATGACACAGCCAACCTTGGGGTAGTGGTGCCTGTTCACAGCAGAATTCTTACACCTCATGCATGTTCAGGCATTGAGTCAGAACGTGTGTTATCTTATGGAAATTTCAAAAAGCCCCCAGCTATGTCAGATGTTCTACTTCTGATGTATATGCTGGCCTCTCTGCATGTCATCATCCAGCATTACCATCCATCTGCAAGTCCCAGCAAGGTTAAGAGGGATGCTGGTGAGAATTCCCTACTACTGTGTGGAGATCCAGAAAAATCTCTATCAGTGATAACCCCTTAATGTTCAGTTTTGTTCCAGAGGTTTTCCATTCTGCTATGCTGGAGGCAGAGGACCAGGCCACCAGGTTTTCTAACCCTTACTTAAGTGAACCTGAATTGTTACTGAAAAATAAGCTTTATCCCCTTAATGACTTTCCCACATCCCAGAGACCACAGCGAAGTCAGGACCATAAATCAGGAGTTCTGTCTCAATCTCATGCTGTGTTTTACATGGAACTCCATTTCTCTTCATTCCACGACCAGCTAATCCCTTGGACAACCTCACCATCATCCAAAACTCAATCTGTTGTGTTGCACATGTGAAGGGTAACCAAATCCTCCTGTAAAGCCAAAGTGATTTCTATGGAAGTCTCAAGTACTTCCCACAAGTGCAATCACTTGGACAAGTGTAAAGTCCAGGGGAAGAAGCTGAGAAGTATTTGCATACTTGGGAACAGACACTGATCCCAACTGCCAGGGAAATCCTACTGGAAGCCTCTGGCTCCATCTAGAGATCAATCACTGGAGCTGCAGTCATGGAATTCCAGGTACAACGCAGGGGAAAGCAGGAAGAACACATGGAAAACATCACGACCACTTTGGGCACCCTCCTTCCTTTTTTCCATGCCGGGGGAGAGGAGGATGTCCCTGGATGGGTCACCTAAACACTGTTCCACCCACGAACCTGGCAAATCCAAACCAAGACCTTTGCAGTTCTGGACGTGCTGGAAAGAATTTAAACTCTATTGCAAATCCAAACCAAGACCTTTGCAGTTTTGGATATGCTGGAAAGAATTTAAATTATGTTATTAGAAAAGAGCATTCCTCATCACTCCCCGCTGACATTGATGGAATGCCTTAGGACAAACAAATGTTTAATTGAACAGATCTTATCAAGTTATGGGGAAAAGGATGACAATGCTTCACATACATTTGTTGTGCTGTTTTGCAAGAGCAGCATAAACAAAGGGCACTAAACTTTTTTTATTTTTTCTCTGAATAAACAGGAAAAAACAGTGTCAATGTAGCCAGTCACGGTATGAGAAAGACCCACCATAGCTATGTAGTTTGTTCTGTTTACATCAAGAGTTCACAACTACGTGCCTGTAGGAAGCTCATTTATGCCACTGGGAAAAAAAAAAACAACAACTAAATTCAAACCAAGTATTTCCTTTGGCAGGAAAAACCCATAGGATCAGCCCGGGAACGTAGAACAAATTTAACATGAACGCAGGACTCATCTTTCCAAGGCTTATTTGCTCATTTATGAAAATCTGCAGGAATCTTACCTCTACATCCTGCTTGTTGGCCAACACCAGAATGGGAACCCCTTCCAGAGCCTCGCTGGTAATCATCTTCTCTACAAAGCACAGAAATAAACCCAGAGGTTTAGCCAGTTCTGGAAGTTCTATAAATGCATGGCACACGCTATCTGGACAGAGGGATGAAGCCAGAGGCCCCTTCTTCCATCACAGTTTCATTCAATACAACCTTTCGGGTCTATTTTCCACACATTGTACTCACCAAAAGCTCTTTTGGACTCTGAGAGCCTCTCCTCATCCGTGGAGTCGATCACATAGATCACCCCGTGAGACTCAGCGTAGTACTGCGGGGAGAACACAGAGCTTGGGGTCGATCCACTGCACTTTTTGTTCCTCTGCCTGATTTTATTGTAATTTGGTAAAATTTCAGTACCCGTGGAAGAGATCAGCCAGTCAGAGCCAGCTGTTCCCACAGTGTGTCTCTGGGAGGGAATGGAGGCACACAGAATGTGCTGCCTGTTCTGTCTGCTCAACACACCAGGTGAAAAAGCTCACCTGTGTCCCCCCAAACCTCATCTCTGTGGCACAACCCCCAGATATGGGCTGGCAATCGCTGCCTGTAAACAATAATGCAAATATTAGGCATTATCTTGGCTCATCTTGCACAGATATAGCTGAATCTCTGGAAGAGTGCTGATGCTAAAAACTGGGGTTGCCAGTAAGTCTGTGTGATTGCCAAATGACTGTGCTGGTTCAGTTCTAAAAGAGACAAAACTACTTCTAAAAGAAAACACAGAATGGTTTGGGTTGGAAGGGACCTTAAAGCTCATCCAGTTCCAACCCCTGCCATGAGCAGGGACACCTTCCACTAGACCAGGTTGCTCCCAGCTCCATCCAACCTGACCTTGAACACTTCCAGGGATGGGGCAGCCACAGCTTGTCTGGTCAAGTTGCACAGATAAAATAAATTAAAATAAAATAACTCCACATCTCTAACCTTGTCCCAAAGTGCCTGGAGTTCCTCCTGCCCGCCAAGATCCCAGAACATCAGCCGAGTTTTGCCAACATCAATAGTCCCAACTAGAGGGAAAGATGGACAGACAATCCAGTGAAAACTATTCTGCCCTTGTTAATTTTAAACTATTTCAAACAAGAACCAGCTGTTGCCCAACTGTGCAGGAAAGCTGAAAAAATTCCAAACAGATTTACTTACTGTTTAAGCCTACAGTGGTTGTGATTTTGGACAAACTCATCCCTTTGTAGTTCTTGTTAAATCGGGTTTTAGTTTGCTCAAGGAAGGTCTGAAAAGGAATAAGACAAAGTATTTACTGCCAAATATTTTACTTGTTGAGACAATCCTACCCCGAACCTGCCTTTTAATTTCTGTAGAATCCTGCCAGAGCAGATACTGCCCTACCTAATTCTGGACAAACCACTCTCCTTGCTCCCTATTTTAGCAAGGAAAGAAGGGATCACAGGTGATTATGGGATTACCAAAGCCTCAGCCACATCCCTGAAAGCTGGTGCTAAATTTAAGTAATGGGGAAAAAGTTGACTGTTTGGTGTGACGGCACTAAAATAACTGATGATACAGCTGAAGGAAGATTGACCTGCAATGGTGATAAACAGCACTTACGGTTTTACCAGCATTGTCCAAACCCAGGATCAGGACACAGTACTCATCCCTCTGGAACATGTATTTATAGAGCCCTGACAGCAGTGTATACATCCTGCTCCTGCAAAATAAAAATACCAAGAATTCATTAACAAACAGGTCATTCCCTAAAGCCTCTCATTCCACAGCACGAGTTCTTCCCAACTCCCGGACAAATAAACGACGTTGCTCCTCCATCAGTAACTTCTCACCCTTGGGGGGAAAGCCCAGGGAAAATCAGAGATCCAAGAGAGATCGTGAAAATGGCTCCAGATCAAGTTTTCAAACGCACACGAGGGAGGGATTATCTTGCAAAGGGCTCAAGGTCTGTGTCTCCCCTCCTTGTTCCCAATCCCTACAAAAGCACCCTGGGGTCTCCGCTGGCTGAAGCGAGGGCAGAGCAACCTGAAGGCACAGCACCTGCAGCAGCCAACACTTGTTGTGTTTTCTGCTGCTGGATTTGCACACACAGGGCAGAGAAGCTTTGCAGGAAGCACTGGCACCAAGTGCTCCAGCTGACTCACAAGCCATTGGAACAACCCCCCTGTTCAAACACAGGTGAAGGGAACCTCAAGGCAGAGACTCTCGAGCAAGTGCGTGGTGAAGCGATCACTTTGAAGTCAAATACCGTCGCCTAAAGGGAGATAAAAGCGCTCCAGAGAAGGAATCGGGGGTTTCATGGCCAGGGAGGACACGGCACCTCAGGCCGCGGGGGCTTCGCCCCCACAGGTGGGATCGGGACCCTTCGCCTCCAGCTGTGCGAGTGGGGAGCTCCTGCCGCCCGCGACGTGATGTCGAGTGATCCCGGGCGTGCCCGACCGCCGGCCCGCTCCTCCCTGATCCGGGAGATCCCCCCCAAATCCAGGAGATCCCCCTCCTTCTTCCCTGACACAGCCTGACACGGCTGAAGACGGACAAGGGCCCTCACCGCCATTTCCCCCTCAAGGCCCAGCGCCAGGTCCCGGCCCGGCAGGTCCTCCCCAAGTCCAGCCGTGCCCCCGCCGCGGCCGCTGCCGCCCCCTCCGAGCGCGGCGGGCGAGGCTCAGAGCCCAGAACCCGAAGCCCGAGGCTCCTCACCCGGTCCCGGAGCCGCCGCCACCGCCTCCCCTCACGACTCCCCGGCACCGTCGGGTACCGCCATGCCGCGCGCGGAGCTCTGGGAATTGTAGTCCCGGCGCCGCTGCCGGGCCGGTGCGGGGACGTTCGCTGGACTACAACTCCCAGAATGCACAGCGACACCGCCCGCCCCGGTGCCGAGGGGATGACGCGTTAGCGGAAGTGGGTGCGCCGTGGCCGGAAGTGGCGGGTGCCATGGCGGGTGTCATGGCGGGGGCTCGCAGGGCCCGGTGCCGCTGAGGGCGGAGCGGGGCTCCAGGGAGGTGCCGCAGCCCCCGGGGGCGCCCGGGCCGCGGGAGGAGAGCCCGGGCCGCGGGAGGAGCGGCGCCCGGCGGGCTTGAGCGGCGCCGTGGCGGGGGAAGGCAGGGCCGGGCCCGGCCTCTCCTCGGACTCTCCCGTCTCCCGTTCCCAGCGGGACCATCGCCCTGATGAATCCCAAGAGAAGGAGCGGGACGGCGGGTGGACGTCGCTTCTGCGGGCTCGTTATCCGGAGAGTTCTTAAGTAAACGCTGGACGTGTTGTGAGTTCCCGCGGGCAAAGGCGCCTCCGTTGTGCCCATAATGGATGAGGAGAGCCTGGAAGCGGCCATCCACACCTACAACGCGCAGCTGGAGCAGGTGGAGCTGGCGCTGGGGGCCGGCCAGGACCCGTCGCAGCACTCGGACCTGGTGCAGCTGCAGGAGGACCTGAAGCAGCTGATCGAACTGACCGAGTCCAGCCTGGTGGCTGTGAAAAAGAGCAAACTCCTGGCCACTCTGGACGCAGATGCCTCCTCCTCCTCCCCGGCAGGTGTCCCGGGGCACGATCCCAGCGTGGAGAGCTCTGCCCAGGATGAGGAATACGCTGCTTTTAAGGAAGCCATTGCTGGCCTTGGAGCAGACGAGGAGCCTCCAGGGAATAACAACGAGAACTCCTCGGAAGGAGGGGGAGAAACTGGTGATAAAAATGAATCCAAGTGCAGCGAAGAGGAGGAGGAGTTAGAGAGGGAGGAGGAGGAGGAAGAGGAGGAGGAGCTGAGTGGGATGAAGGTTAAAGCCCCCTACTACAGCTCCTGGGGGACCCTGGAGTACCACAATGCCATGATAGTGGGGACAGAGGAACTGGAGGATGGCAGTGCAGGGGTCAGGGTGCTCTACCTGTACCCGACCCACAAGTCCCTGAAGCCCTGCCCGTTCTTCCTGGACGACAAGTGCAGATTTAAGGAGAACTGTCGGTAAAGAGAGGGGGGTGGGAGGGATGAACCACCTCCTAAAGTGCCCTGTGTTGCTCTTTTTACCCAGTGAAACTGTGCCTTTGTGTTTTTGAAACGTGCTGTGGTGAGCAGTGGCATCAGTTGGGCTGTTTCCTTTTAGCTGATGCAGAGTTGAAGTGGGAAATCCCGTGGGAAAGCTGCAGAGATGTAGAGTGGGTAAATTAACAGCTGATCAAGTGTTTTAAATAAAACACCCAAGCCTCTGGATAGTGCACACATTCCAGTTGCACAGGGAGGTTGTAGAGGCTCCATTTTTGGGGGATCCTCACTGGGAAGGGCCTGGAGCAGCCTGAGGGGACAGTGAAGGTGGATGGGCTGGAGCCCTGCCTGTCTCTGATCCTCTTCATCTCCAAGGACATGAACTTTCATACTGGATGTGTGACTAGCAAGGAATTTTAATTCTCCAGGGTGGGATCCTTGCTTGGTTACGTGGCATAAAAGCCACGTTTGAGGTGAAACACGAACGAGCTGTGGAACTGCAACAACAATGTGGTCAAACCTCCCCAGTGCCCCAGGGGGGAGGTTCATCACTGGGACGTTTCCTTTAGGGAGGGAAGGGGTTTTAATTTAAAGATTCCTGTTCCTCCTTCCCTGCAGGTTTTCCCATGGCCAGGTGGTGTCTGTGGAGGAGCTCCAGCCCTTCCAGGAGCCTGACCTGAGCTCGCTGGGGGTGGGCTCAGCCTGCCTGGCGAAGCACAGCGATGGGATATGGTACACGGCCAGAATCACTGGTGAGGGGCCCTGGGGGAAGGTGGAGGCTGATGGTGATGAGGATGGGAAGCTTGGCTGTTGTGGTTAGTGACAGAAGAATGGTGAACTGTGTGGCTGAGCTGAAAATCTTGGGGCAACAGTCTGAGTGGTGTCAGACTTGGGAAAGAGAGTGTGGGATGGAAAGGAGACATAAAGGGCAGGAATGTGGAAAGGAGATGAGTGCAAGGTCATTAACTGCTCTGAAAAGGAAGAGGCTGGTCCTGCAGGAATTTGCATGCATATTAGGTGAGAATTGCAATAATCTGCTCTTGTTTAAACAAAAACCAGAGGAGCTGGCCCTGCCCAGCAGCTGCTCATACAGGCTTCCCTGTGTCCTGGGAAGAAGCAGGGCTTATTGCCTCTTTCTGACTTTCTTTTAACTGTTATTAATTCAGAGGGGGGCAAGTCTAACTTCTCCTAAATTCCATTTCTCTTCCCTTATAGAAATAAACCTTCAGGTATCAACACAGTCATTGTGGAAGTGGCTTTTCATTGCAGTCGGGGCTTCTCCCTCCCAGACAGAAATAAAAAGCACAAATTAAGCCCAGAATTCTTAAAAACATGCTCCTTGGACCTTCCCCTGCTCCCATGTTGTTCCACTGGAGCTGAATCTGGCTTAGCCCCCTGTGTGCTGGGGACTGACAGGAGCTCCTGTCCTTGCTGTTGCTTCTGCAGATGTGGACAGTGGCTACTACACAGTGAAGTTTGACTCCCTGCTGCTCAAGGAGGCTGTGGTAGAAGGGGACAGTGTCATCCCCCCACTGAGAAGTGAAGATGCTGCTGGGTCTGAATCTGACGAGGACAGTGTCGATGATTCTGGTTATGCCAAAGGTGAGAGAGAGAGGAGGACATGAGCAAAAAGCTTCTTGTGATCTTAGTCTGCCTTTCTCTGGGACTGGATGGCTGTCCTGGAGCTCTCCCTGCGAGTGTCTCACCTCTGATGAAAGAGCAGTTCATCTCTTAATGTGTTCCTGAAAGGTAGAGAACAGTAATTACCTGTTATGTAACAGCTGCCATCTAAAAATCTTTGTTTTATGCAAATCACTGGGCTAATGAAGGCTGGAGGTTTCCATGGGAACTTCCACGAGGGTGTGATATTTCAGAGTTCCAAGCTCAGAGCCTGTTTCTTACGTGGCTGCCTGAGTTGAGCTAAAAAGTGAATCAGGAGATTCCCTCATCTCTCTGCAGCTTCATGACCCAGGAGTGTGAGATCCCAGTAACTGAGGGTTGGGTCCTTCCAAGTGACTTCTTGGAGGTTGCACAGGCAGCCCTGTCCCTGTGCTGGTGCCACAGCAGTGTCACAGGGACAGGGTCATGTCCTAGAGCTCTTAACATTTAACCCAAGAGAGGTTATTGGATCCTGATAACACAGAATTAGCACCGTGGCCCAGAGGAGCCTCGGACCAGAGGCAGGAGCTGGAGGCACAGGATAATTGTTATGTGCCATTGTGCCAGATTTTACTCTGATGTGTGTGTCAGTCTGTGTCACCATCATGGAAGGATGGAAAGGAAGCATAAAACTCCTGGGTGACTGTGCTCAGATCTGGGAGGTGGTATGTGCATTAAATTGAGATCTCTGTCACTCCCTGTGCAGTGTTCGTGGAAGGTGACGATTCAGTAGGAACCAAGCAGGGCTGGAGGAGCGGCCAAATGATTTTAGGGTGGAAGAAGTGACTTGTACTGCCCCACGAGGGGGTTTCATGCTGTGTGATTGGCCCCCACGAGGGTTTTGCAGAGCAGCTTTGTTCCTGTGTTTCACTGATTTCCTCTCCTGTGCTCACAGTGATAGATTCCGGAGTTCCAGAGAACGGGGAGTGGACTCCTGCGTGCAGCTCTTCTTTCGGTGGCTGGGAAGCCCACACTCGTGGCATTGGCTCCAAACTGCTTGTTCAGATGGGATATGAGTTTGGAAAAGGTAAGGGGAGGAGGTGGTCCTGGGGCTGTTAGCAAAAAAAAAAAAAAGCAAGATTTGGGAGGATGAAGCCAGAACTTTGCCGTGCTTGAAGGGCCCATTGGCCGAGGCCCGAGCAATGCGATAGAACACAGTGATGTTAGAGGGAAGAGGGATGACTTATTCCATGGAAGTACAGGCATGTGGGGCAGCAAGTCCTGTATGGTAATGGCAAACACTGGAACCACGGTCAAGTTGGCGATCAAAGCCGTGAGAACTGCTGTGTGAGCGTCGGGAGGCTGTAGGTGGAGGGGAGCTGATCTGCAAAGCTTCTGATGTCTGTGTTGAGCACATCTCCTGGCACTGGACACAGACTTCAAAGCCTGCTGAACCCGCTGCTCCCCACCCAAATTGCATCGAGCCTTGGGGGCTCTGGGAGGGCAGCCCTGCTGCCTGTGTGTCTCTGGTTCTCCCAGAGGAACCAAACCAGTTTTAAGTGGAACCTGGCTGGAGAAGCTGAGAATGTGAGGCTGAGCCTGGTTTCACAGAAACCGGCCTGGCAGATGGCCCCGGGCTTGGAATCACAAATCTCCCGCTGTGAAAGGCTCCAGGCCTGGCCTTTGCTGCTGCTCCCCTTGCTTGGACAGCGCTTGCAGCTTTTGGTACCTCAAAAGCCTGTTTGCTTGTTCTAAGCTTGTGAGGTGTCAAGGTGAGCCCGTGGTGGGAGGTGACTGTGAGAGGGGATGTCCTCACTTGGTGTAATCACTCGGTTTCTCTCCTCAGGGTTAGGGAAGAATTCTCAGGGCAGAGTGGAGCCAGTGCAGGCTGTGGTGCTTCCTCGAGGGAAGTCCCTGGACCAGTGTGCTGAGGTGCTTCAGAAGAAGAAGCAGGGGAAGCTGGACCCAGGCAAATCGAGGAAATGCCGAGCAAAGGGAAACAGCTCCGGACAGTCGGGCGGCCGGAAGCCCCCCCGGAACGTGTTTGACTTTTTGAACGAGAAGCTGCGTGGGAAGAGCTCTGGGGACAAGGCTGGAGGGATGGCCCTGCCCCAGAGGAACAGCAAGGAGATCTACCACGCCAGCAAGAGCACCAGGAAAGTCCTGAGTGTCCACCTCTTCCAGACCGCGGAGGAGATCGAACAAACGCTGAGGGATATCAGGGGAATCCAGCAGGCCCTGGAACGCAACACCGGGCGGTAGGAAAACGTTCCCTTTGGGACCGAGTTCTTGGTGCTTCTGGGAAGGGGTGGGCTTGAAATGGGTTGTGGGAGAAACAAGTGAAACGTGTGGAGGAGAGAGTTCAGTGTGTGCTTCAGGCCATCTTGGACACTGGCAGATGTGTCTGGCTGGAATTCAGGCTGTGGGAAAGAGAGGAGCTCTCTGAGGAAAGGTGTTAGAGTCCTTTCTTTCTCGTGCCCACCACTGCAACGTTGCTGTTGAGCATCCCAGGAGGAAATTTTCTAGCCCAAATTGTGCAAAGCATCAGGTTCTTCCCGGCTTTTAGCAGGTCCCTTGTGCTGATCCTACAGGAAGGGGCAAACCGTCCTGGGATGAGGACGATCCTTTGATCTTGCCACGCAGGATGACATTGCCACCGTGCTTTTTGCTTTCAGGCACAGTGTTGCTGCAGCCAGGCTGGAGGAGAAGCTGGCAAATGCTCACAAGAAGCTGGGGCAGCTGCAGGCCCAGGAAGCCAGGCTGCAGCGGGAGCAGAAGAAAGCAGAAACCCACAAGAAGATGACTGAGTTCTAAGGTGCTGAGGAAGGCATTGGACTGCAGGGATTGTCCTTCTAGTGCTCCTGGCCTCAGAGCCTGGGTGAGCCATCCTGATCCTCTGGGCCTCAGGCTGCCCAGCCTGAAACTGGGTGGAAAAGCAGCAGTTTCTGGATGCTTCTGAGCTCTGCTGGGACTGGAGAGGGGGAAGTACAGATCCGTCCAGCCCCCAAAGCATTCCCTGAGCTGGGCCTTGGATGAGGACTGGCTGTACAAAATATGATTCTCTGCTCTCTTGCACACTTTTTTCCTCCGTTTTCCCTGCGGTAGCACCTCCATCCAGAGTCAGTGGCTGCTCAGGTGATAACACTGCTGGCTGCAAAGCAGCTGAGGGGGCTTGGACAGCCCCACATCCTGCCATCAGCTGTGGCTTCTGCCTGCAGCCCCCCTGAGGAGCACAGGTACAGGCAGGGTCCAGAGCACGGCCTGGCAAAGCAGAAAAGGCGTGTGCTGGGAGAAAACATCAAAGGCAAAGTGCTTCAGCTGCTCTCTGCCTTCTGGTTTTTACTGTGGGGTTTATCTGAGGGCTCCAGTTTTTGGGGGGAGCAGTTCTTTGTAGCCTTAGTGTTAGGAATAGGCAGAAAACTGGCAGCTCAGAGGTGGGAACCAGCGGCCTCGAGGATCAGATTTCAGCAGTTTGACTGTAAGAGTATCCCAGGACATGCTGTAGCCTAAACTCATTTGGCTTGGCAGGGAAGGCTGTGTGGGTCCACAAGTAGAGTGCCAACAGTGGGGGAATAAGCCAGCAGTGTAATGGGATTCCCAAACACTAGCAACAACTCCACGAGGAGCCTTGTGATTTTTGTGACCATCAGTTGGGTTTTTCTGTCCGAGGTGGCTCACTGAACACAGGTCCTTTTACTAAAAAACCTCAGGACCCAGGTGCAGGTTGGACTGGGCCCTGGATGAGCACAAGGAGCAGGATCTGTATGTGTCCACTGTGCAGCCCTGCAGTGGGAGAGATTGGGGCTGGGCTGGGAGCAGCACAGGCAAGCCAAGTGCCCTTCCCTGCACCATGGAGAGTCTTTGGACAGGAAGGTTGTTCTCTCCCATCTGTTACATTCTGCATTGGTTGCAGCCAATCCTTGCCCCAGAGGAGATGGTGGTTTCATCAGACTGTTTCTGGTGGGATTTGTGCATTGTAAAGGCTTATTTTTAAAAAAAAAAATTTGCAATTCATGCCAGTATCTTAAGGACACAGTTTTTTCTTAGTTTAAGAAACTGATTTTCTTTTATTCTGTGAGTCACTTTTCTCATGAAAAGGTTTACTCCTTTAGTACCCCCTTTTTTTATCTGTGCCTAAGAAGCCTGTAAAACTGTCAGCCTGGGCAGGGCTGTGCCTGCTTGCAGGGCCAGGCTGCCAAACTAACCAGAAAATCTGAGGCTGAGGAAGATACAATCAGGGCTGTTCAAGTCATGTGGGATTTCGCATTGCTGCAGACACACCTCCGAAAACACAGCGAGGCAGCAAAACCAGACGAGATGAACATCTTCAGGAAGCCTGTGGGAGCACCTGGATCAATCTGTGGATGTGGAACTGGCAGGGGCTGCCTTGGGCACTTCAGCATCCATCAGTTCCTAATGGAATTGGCCGTAGGATCCTCATTGTTCTGAATTCCTGTTCTCCACGAACGGGGGCTCAGCTCTAGGGTTTAACAATGGCTGCTCAGAGCCCTTCCCTCCCAAGTGACTGTTTGTTTCCCACACTCGAGTGTTGAGTGGTGACAAGGACTGATGTGTGCCCAGCTTGGCATGGGTGCTCACTGAAGTGGCCCGTGACTGGGGATCTGACCTGGGCAGAGAAATTTTTTGGGTTTATTTTGTGGTCTGTGACTAAATAACATCATCCCTTTAGGAGCTGGGTGTGTTAGCCCTGTGTCTCAGCTCAGTGGCATCGTGCCCTTCCTTGGGATTTCCACAAGCCCTGCCTTGCCAGTCTCCTATTCCAGTGGCTGCCGCCTCCCACCCAACAGATCCACATCCCCGATGAATAAAGTCGGTGTTTATTTTCCCCTCTCTCCATGTAAGGCATTGCTCATTTGCAAGGTAATGATGATCTGGGGCGCCCCATTCTTTCCTTGATACTGCCCTGAGCACCCAGACGGGCCGGGCGGGGGCAGAGGGTGCTGCTGTGCCGGGAGCCTGCCAGCACAGACCCAGCCTACCCCGGGGTGAAGCCACCACCTCCGAGGCCAGGAAGCTGCGGGGTGTGTGTGCTCCGTGTGTGCTCAGAGCCAGCTGTTCCTCCCAGAGCTCGGGACTGGGAGAGCTCAGTGGGTTCAAAAGGCACAGGAACCCCTGATTGGGATTAACTCGGTGGGATAAAAGAAATGGAGTTCTCCAGGCTGGCTGGCGAAGAGGAGAGCATGACTGGATCCCTGTGCTCCACCATCCTCTGAGTTCCTGCAGGGTAAGTGCTGTTGGCTTTCCAGTCTGGGGAATCTGCAGCTAAACAGGGAGGGGGGAATCCTTTAAGACCCTTCGAGAGTATAGGGAAGTCACAGCGTCGATGGAGGTGCTGTTGCAGCTGGCTAGACTGGACAGGCAGGATTCCTACTCTGCTCTGGGGAAGCACCTGCTGGGTTAAACCTTGCTAGTTGGGCTGAAGGCTGTGTGCCACTTCTGGAGGATGTGTGCCGCTCTGTGCTCTGCTGCTGGGCTTCAGAGGGAAGAAAAGGTGCTGGAGGTCGGCAGCGCTGCTGGAATCCCGTGGTTGGAGTCTGGAGGCTGAGTGGGAGCCATCTGTTTTTGGGATGAATGAGTTGAGTTAGGAGGTGTGGGGTGTTGTGTTTTTTTGGTTTTTTTTTTTCAATAGGAAAATTTTCAGTTGTGTTGTGGGGAGGGGGACTGGAGTTTTGCTTGTGTTGAGCTGTGGGTGAGGAGGCTTGAGAGTGTGGTCGCTGAAACTGTCCTCTGTAAACCTGAGGTTATGCACAACGACAGAATGTGTGGCAAGAAAACCACTGTGGTAGGCAGGTGGTTCTCAAATAGGCACGTATCACCTTAATACGTTCTGTAATTTGGAATCTGGCTTCCCATAAGGGCAGATCCGAGCTCTCCACTGGTGTCCTGCTGTGGCTCAGCCCTGCCGAAAATCTGTCCAGCAGGTTTTTGCCTTAGAAGAGCATTTCTCTGCCCAAGTGAGTGAGTGTCCGGCGATCAGGGAAGGGCAGGAGGAAAGAAACGCCCTGACAGCCTGGAGAAAAGCCCCACAGTGTGGGTGGGTGATCACTTAAATGGAGGTTTTAAAGCCGTATTTTCTCAGATGCCACTCCAGCACGTGAGCAGCCATCAGAACTGCAGCTGGGAGCGTGCATCCAAGCTTGGGGACTTTTGGGTCTGGCATTTAGAAATAGAGTTGGTCCTTTCTAAATGAAATGCCTCCAGAGGTGTTTGACCATGAAATCTCTCCTTCCCGCTGCAGAGATGAGTGAAGTGGGTGAGATCTCATGCCTGCTCTGTGTTAGAAATTGTCTTAAAAATCACTAATTGCACCCCACGGTCTAGGGCAGATTCAGTGTTGTGGCTAACTGTAACAGGGGCTTCATTTTTCATAATTAAAAAGAAAAAAAACAATTACTTCTGCTTCTTGGGCCTTTTTTGCAGCACAACTCCCCCAGGTACCCGAGAGGAGGTCGCTGCAGCCGTCGCTGCGCAGTCGCTGATTGAAATCAGCTCAAAATGTTCCCCCTGGTTTCTTGCAAAAACCAGGCTTTGAGTAGCTTCACAGACTTTCTGCTCATCACCCTGCACTGAAAACTGTGTGGTTTTATCTGGGGAGATGAATCAGAGGTCGGGCAGAATCAGCAGCAGCTCCGAGTTTTGCAGTGCAGTTGATCTTGTTTTCGTGAAACCCGGCTTGAGGAACTTGTACTTTTCGTAGGAGTCACAAAAAACTCCCACATCCTGGAGCTAACAAACCGTCTGCCCTTTACAGTGCCCGTGCTGGAGTGTCACAGGGGGGGAGTTATCCCTCCTGGGCCGTGGGTGTTTGTCGCACGTACGAAACGGCTGTGGCCCCCCTCGCCTTCAAAGCCACCCGGGCTTGCGGAGCCGGCACGTTGTGAAACCTCGTCTGCTGAGCCTCCTTGCCCCGGGGGAACAGCCCCAGGACTGGGAGATCGATAACTTTATTGGCAGGAAATTCAGGTGTGGGTTTCGGAAGGTCTGGTTGAGACTTTGCCTTGCAAACCTGCTCGGTCCTACCCGAGCGGCTTCAGGCGGGCACTGAGCTTTGCTTGCAAATGCGTAGTTTTGGGAGGCCCAACTGGTTGTCCAAAGTGGCTTTTCTCAGTGAGTGTTGATCCTGCAACAGGCAGTTTCACTGGTCAGAAATCCAGGAGCAACCACCCACCTGCACGACTGAGTGGGTCAGATGAATTTCTCTGTATTCGTTTCCACTCAGGAAGCCTCTCCCTTCTCCAGTCTCAAAAATTCAGGGATGGGAAATCCCCCCGCTGCCCCCTGTGTGCCTGCCTCAGCATGCTGAAAGCTCCCACCGCGATTCCGACATCACACCAGTTCCCGACTGTCGTTCCTCGTTAGAACTTTGTCTGCTGAACCCCAGAGCCTGCTCGGCTCTGCCCTGAGCACGGCAGCTCCTGCAGCCTGTGATCCCATCACTCTAATGAGCTGAGCCAGTCCAACGAGGAGCTCCAGGCTCTGTCTAACACGACGGCCCTGTTGCAGGTAATCCGTGTAATTAATGTATGCTCAGACAGAAAACCTGTCTTGTCTAATTAAAACGTCGTTGGAGAGGGAGCAGCCTTGTCTTCCCAGCTCTGATCTAAGCCAGTCTGTCCAGCCTGGTTAGTCCCTAAAAACTCGCTGTCTCACTTTCTACCTTGAACTAATTGCTCTCCAGGGTTCAAGCTTCAGTCAGGGCAGTTTCCGAAGGCATGGGAAGTTCTCAGATAACAGGGTGCTCTTGGATAAAAGGGTGCTGCGAGTGGGCAGAGACCTGCCAGTTATTGGGGTAAAAGATGTTCCAAAGAAAATGCAGCGTGACATGGAGGTCAGGGCAGTGGGGACGACGGGCATGGACTGCCCTGCTTGCCATGGAGCTGCTGAAGCTTCTGAGATTCACATGAGGCAGGGTGGCTCCTCACCGGAGCTCGCCTGGCCTTTGTCATCCAGATGGTGACATTTGAGAGAGTGAGCTGTGCTGGTGGAACCTGTCCTGCCCAGCTCTGCGTGGGGACCCTGCTGGCCCCCTCTGCATCAGCTTCCGTGGCTTCTTGGAGCCGGGCTTCACTCCTGGGCTGGGAACTGCCACTGCCTCCGCCTCCTTTCGGCGTCTCCCGGGTGTGGGTCACAGCCCAGCCCTTTTTGGAGCGTGGGGTGCACAGAGCTGAGCTGTGCAGAGCTGGGAGCCGCGGCCACCGTCGACGCTGGGGCAGGTGAAGCCGTGTCAGCTTTTGCTTTGGGTTTGCAGAGTGCTGACGGCAGAGCAGGGATGGGGATGGTGGGACTGGGGTCACCAAGAGCCTCCTGGGAGTGATCCTGACAGGCTGGGGAGCATCTGCACTTTGTGTCGGGCTCCCCGGCACCTTCGTGCCTCTGCACCGCTTGCTCTGGCCCTGCCACTGCTGCGGTTTGCAGGGAAGGACTTCCCTTGAGGAAGGGAAGGGACAAGGGGTGGGATTGGAGCAAAGCATGGCTTTAGGCGGAGGGAAGTGGTGGAAAGGTTGGGCGTTGTCTGCTCCCATGTCACAGCAGAGAGCAGCTGACCCGAGGCTGTGGTGGCAGAGGATAGGTGGGGTCTGTGTGAGACCTGCTGCAGTCAGAGGGTGTCCTGGGGTGTGAGAAGGAAGAGGAGGAAGAGGTGGCTGTGAGGTTGAAGCTCTCTCCATGTCTGGGAAGCTGAATCATCTGCCTGTCCTGTCTGGCCTCCCCTAGGCTTGGGAGTGGTGTCACCTCCATCCCACAGCCCAGGCGGTGTCCTGGTGTTCCCAGAAAGCACCCTGTCACTTTTTGGGTGTCTTCAGAGGTTTTCTGGGGCCCCTGGCAATCTTCTTTTCAGTATCTCAGTGGCAACTTGGGAGCTTGAATCTCATTGGGTTTGCTGGGTTGGTTTTTTTCAAAAGGAACCAAAAGTTTTCCTGGGAGGTGGCAGAGCACCTGCTGCTGGGTGTCCACACTAGGTGGGGCACTGGAGGCTCCACGGTGACCCTTGGGAA